ACCATAGTGCCACTCGACTCTGTCAAAGGCTTTCTCCATGTCCAATGATAAAAGGGCTGTATCTGAAGTTTCTTTAATGTTGTTTCATATTTATTACAAAGTAAAAACCCTTCCTACCCATTATAAATTCATTCTGGTTTCTATCACTAATTTCTGACATTTTGTTTGGTTTCATTTTAGAAAGTTTTTACATAATCTTTTAAGATCAAATTTCAACAGGATTTTCAGCCTGATATTCTGTCCATAGCAGTGCAGCTCCAGATGCTCTCTGTATTCACTCCGTATGGATGGTATAGTTAACCCACACAAGAAGCCATTTAGGTTTTTAAGATTTCAGTCTTATAGACTTGTTAGGTATTTTCTTAGTTAGATAGATATTCAGAGATTTGTTGTCTAGAAATATTTAGTGAAGACAGGATGTCTAGCTCAGGCTGTTAACTGCTCAGTTTAATTTCATGTGCTTGCAGACTGCATGTAGGCCAAGGTTGCAGGCAAAGAGTTGTTAGTATTAACTGTAATGCTAATCTTAATATTTGTCTTAATGTGTAATGTCATGTCAAATTGTTTTTAGATACACACCACATAATCAACATTCACACACATTATTTTCTTCATGTTTTGACTACTGCTCTGCTCAGCTGCCAAGCTGGCATATCAGGTGCCGTCACGGTTTGACGTGGCCTGTGTAGGATGGGGCTAGCCCAGAAGGATTAATATTGTATAGGTTTCTTGGTCCAGGGTCTTGCTTCTTCCGGGCTGCCTGCGAGCAGCTTTGGGGGTGGAAGATGCCTGGACGTGTAATGTTAATTCTTGCCTGTGACCCTTTGAATAAACCAGCACGGTTATATTTTTTTATATACAGTATCCAAGTGGTCTGAGTCGTCCCTCTGAGTTTCTGGTTTGAAAGAACCGAACGTGGCTTTATAATAGAATAGAGCCTATAGACTCTAGTTACTTTATAAGCTTTAGTTATAAAGGCTTCATTCTATTATAAAGCCTCGTCCGGTTCTTTCAAACCAGGAACTCCGAGGGACGACTCCGACCACTTGGATATATAAAAAAATATAACCGTGCTGGTTTATTCAAAGAGTCACAGGCAAGAATTAACATTACGAGTCCAGAGATCTTCCAACCCCCAGGCTGCCCAAGCAGCCCGGAAGCAGAAAAGACCCAGAACCCAGAATTGCTATACA